GACCGAGACCTCGGCCCCACCACGGTGCCGATGGACATGGCCCCCAACTCCTTTGATGACCAATATGAAGGCTGCGGGCAAATGATGTGGGGTAAGATACAGAAGGTGAACTATACTGAGTTCACCAAGAATTATGTCTACGCTGATGGCTGGAGGAAGGCAGCTGCGGAATGGCAGAAGCGCTGGGGCCACCTCTCTCACCCCCCACAGCTAAGACGGGAGCAGGCCATCGCCGTGCTGGCATACACTGCTGCAAGCAAGCTATACCAGCAGCTGAATGCAGCCACACGTCAGGGCGGACGTTCCCATCAGTACTATTGCCTTTACTTCCACTTCAAGACGCTGCACTTCCTCCTGACCCAGGCGCTGCGTGCCCTGCAGGCATCCCAGCCCTTCTGCTACAAAGTCTATCGCGGTGTTGGGGGTGTCCGCTTCACAGCCCAAAGAGGGACGGCTGTGCGCTTCAGCCAGTTCACCTCCACCTCCCTAAGGAAGGAGGTCGCAGTGAAGTTTGGCCGGGACACCTTGTTCGTGATTAAGACCTGCTATGGTGCCCCAATCAAGCAGTTCTCCTTCTACCCCTTGGAGGATGAAGTCCTCATCCCACCCTTTGAAGTCTTTGAGGTCACCAGCTTCTCCGTCGTCAATGGCAGAAACCAAATCCATCTCCGCTCTAAGGGGAAGAAGAGTAAACACAACTGTGAGCTTCTAAAGCGTCCGTGTGGGCAGTGGGGTTGGGGCCACCAGGAGGTGGGGTTGGGGTTCAGCCCTGGGCCAGCTCTGCACTCCCTGGGCTGCTCCAACTGCAGCTGGTGGGGATCGGGGCACAGAGAGGGTGACCCCATCCCAGCAGCTCTGTAAGGGGACGGGGAGTGTGGAGGTGAAGGGAGCATCTCTGTGGGAAGGTGGGGACAGGGGGAAATGAGAAGGTGAGGATATGGGGAGGTGGGGAAATGGGGGGATGGGGAGGTGGGGACATGGGGAGATGAGGAGGCATGAGAGCTTGAGCTTGAGCAGCTTAGAGCTCTGTGAAGCTGCAGGACTGTGCAGGGGCAGGGCAGCAGCAGAACCCAAGTGTGGGGATGGGTAGAGACGTGCGCCCAAGGGCCGGCGGCGTGCAGAACTGTGCTGCTCCGTGCATGTGCTGAAGCCAGGCTGCGCCTCATCCCACAGCTGGTGCCCTCTTCTTCTTTCTCTCATTAAACCTCGAGCATCATCACGTCGGTGCTGTGTGTTGCAGTGCTTCATACCGGTCCCAGTGGGACCTGGGAGCGTGTGGGGACCCGGGTCTGCCCGGGATTGAGGCGGCCGTGTGGGCCCCGGGCTGTGGGGCAGCTCAACCCGCAGTGCTGCCCCGATCCCGCTGCGCGGTGCTGAGCTGGGAATTGGCAGGAGCAGCTCTGAGCCAGAAGGTGACTGGAGAACATCCCCACCATCTCTTCTGCAGCATCAGCACAAAGGCAGCACCAGAGCTGGGGCAGTTTAGTTCTGGGGTGCTGCTCTGCTATCCGGGTCCCACAGGCTCTGTACAGAACTCCCAGTGGAGATCATCCAGGCTGGGGGTGAGGGGAGCCTGGCCGTGCCCCTGCAGCTCTGTGCCTGGGCTGCTGCCCCTGCGTACCTGCAGGAGTGGCACTGTGGAGCTGAGCGCAGCAGGACCCCCAAGCGAAGATGCTCCCAGCCTTCGGGATCGCGGCATTCAGCAGAGCAAGCGGTGCTGAAAAGCTCGAGCATCTCAGCTCCATTTCATCATGCTTGGGTCTGGTGCACACGATGGGAACCTCACGGGGAGGTGCCCAGCGCTCAGGGGATCTTCAAGGCCAGATGGATCCCAGCGCACAGCGCAGCACCAGCATAGCTCTCCTGGCATTCCATGGCACTTGTAAATTCCTCCACCTTTTCCCCATGAAGGGAGTATGGTGTTGGGCTCAGGGCCCTTTTACAGCTACCAGGACAAGGCCCCACGCTCCCCTGGCTCTTCCAGCTCTCCAAACTCCCAAAGAACACCAGGCTCCTCAAGTTCCCCATTCCCCAGAGATCCCAGTCTCCCTGTGCTCCCCTGCTTTCAACTCTCCCTATGCCCTCCAATCTCCCCAAGCTTGGAGCCCAACTCCTATGGAGAAAAGCTGGGGGAGCCATGGGTGTTCAGCCTGGAGAAGGGAAGGCTGGGAGGACCACACTGCCATGCACTCCTGGGGCCTCTCCTCGAGCACTGGGTACGGGTTTGGACACCACAGGATGCAAAGGACATCAAAGCATTAGGGAGTATCTAGAGGAAGTCTGTAAAGATGATAAAGAGTCAAGAGGGGAAGATTCATGAGGAGCAGCTGAGGTCCCTTGGGTTGTTCGGCCCAGAGCAGAGGAGACTGAGGGGGGACCTTGCAGCCCTGCAGCCCTTCATGGCCCTACAGCTCTCAAAGAGGGCAGAGGTGCAGCACCGAGCTCTGCTTCTGTGTGACCAGGACAGGCCTCGAGGGAATGGCATGGAGCTGTGAGGGAGGATGTGGGGTGAGGGAAAGGCTGTGCCCCGTTGGGCGGTGGGCATGGCTCAGCTCCCAGGGCGGTGGGCACAGAGCTCAGGGAGCATCAGGACACTTCTCTGACATCATGTGCTGTGGCAACGAGGCACAGATTCAGATGTGAACGCTCCAAATCCTTTATTACAGGTTCTCACATCACTTACAGACATTCACAAGTTTCCTTTTTTAGCTTTCCCATAGAGCTTCACAGCTTTCTCCTCTGCCTTTACGTGTCAGCAAAGCGTTCCACAAACACTCTATAACCATGCAGGCACTCATCCAGTCAGGGATAGCAGGAGCCATTCCTTTTGCTTTTCTCTTCTTCTGGAGATGTCCTTGGTTTCTCAGTCTTGATTTCTTATCTTGCTCTGCAGCGTCTGCTCTGAACAGATTTTCTTGTATTCCCATAGGGTTGGATTTGGGGTGCTGTGTGGGGCCAGGGTTTGGGCCTGGTGATCCCTGTGATTCTGAACTTAGAATGTTCTCTATGATCCTCTGAAAGCAGCTGTGTGACTGTTCTGCACGTGGCTACATCAACCCCAGCCATGCTGATAGCTTGGAGAAGAGAAGGCTGCAGGGAGACCTGATGGTGGCCTTCGGTGCTTGAAGGGAGCGGATGAACAGGAGGGGGAACAGCTGTGTGTGAGGGTGGGTGGTGACAGGACAAGGGGAATGGCTTGAAAGTGAGACAGGGGAGGTTTGGGTTGGATGTGAGGAGGAAGTTTTTGAGCCAGAGGGCGGTGAGGCACTGGCACAGGTTGCCCAAGGAGGCTGTGGATGCCCCATCCCTGCAGGCATTCAAGGCCAGGCTGGATGTGGCTCTGGGCAGCCTGGGCTGCTGCTTGGCGACCTGCACACAGCAGGGCTTGGAGCTGGATGAGCGCTGTGCTCCTTTGCAACCCAGGCCATTCTATGGTTCTTTCATTCACTGACCATTTTACAGCTTCAAAGGATTTGCACCGCACAGAATCGTGTTATTCCAGAGGCAGTGCTGCTATGGCAAAACAACAGCATCCGGAGGTGATGTTCTGCTGTGTGCCTGGAGCTGCTCCACATTACCACCCCGCACTTCTCCAGACACACATCCATACCTCAGCGTTCCCAACAGACGCCTGGTGAGGGCAGCAAAACCTCTATTGCTTTGCTCTGCTTTCAGACATAAGGAAAAGAGGATTAAATCCAAACGGCTGCGCACTTCCAATGCCCTCTGCTTAGCCAGGTGTTACTACCCGGAGTTTCAAAGCAGGCTGGGGGAACCTGATGTTTCTCCTCTTCACATGCTGGTGCTGGGGGAAATGGCAGTATCCTGCTTTGCAGCCAAGGAGAAATCTGCAGAAAGTAAAGCCAGGTCATGTGGGGCAATGCAGGAAGTGCTGCAGGCGGCCACATCCTCTTCTCATGCTTTTTCCATAATGTCCATCCACCCTTTTGCTCCAGCTGTGTTCGTTAGAGGGAAAGCTCTGATTTGAGATGGAGGGGATGAAATAGGGCACAAGCTATTTAAATGCCAAGGAAGAAGAGGTGAGAGGGAAAATCCCCCTCTTTGATCCTGTAAGGATCAAAGGATGAGAGGTGATGGCCTCACATCGTACCAGGGGAGGGTCAGGTCGGGCGTTAGGGAACATTCTTTCTCCAAAGAGTGGGGATGCTCTGGCACAGCTGCCAAGGGATGGGGGGTCACCATCCCTTGGAGTATCCCACAGCCGTGGGGATGTGGCACTGAGGAGCGTGGGCAGTGGGCTGGGGGTGGGGATGCTGGAGGGCTTTTCCAGCCTTCACGCTTCTAAACAACAGCAGAAGGAAGGAAGGATGCTCAGCTGAAGTCCCTGTTTCTCAAGGATTGTAAGAACAACTTTATCTGGGCCAGCAGGAACCCAGCCCACTTATGGCACAAGAGATGCCTGGACAACAGGAAGGATAGAGCCCAGCAGCGCCACCTCACACTGTCCCCATCCTCCCCCTGACCCACAGCACTTCCCCACTGAGACAGGAACAATTACACCACGTTCATTAGCACAGCCCCGTGCAGCAGCAGCTGCTCGTTTGGAACAATTCACTCCCTCCTCCGCTGGAGGGAATTGGTGCACAGCAGCTGTGCTTTGATATCAAACTTGATAAGCGAGCAGACAGCTGTGGGAAGGCCTTGAGAGCCGACCTCCCTTGGGTCACTGCTCCCAGGGCTTTCCTTCCCATCCCACGCAGCCCTGGGTATCTGACCTCACCAAATGGATTTTAATAGGGGTGAGGAAAAGGGCTGCTGAGCAGCCGGGCTTATCTCGCCAACCAGAGTGCTTGCAAAGCCCACAGGCTGAGAAGGGCGATGCGTATGTCTGGCTGTCCCCATTGTGAGCTGTGACGGTCGGCCAGCAGTGACAGAGCACTTCTACAGCTCAGGGTCAGCCCCAGCCCACAGACAGCGGGTTCAGCCCTTGCCTGTGACTAAAATAGCACATGAACTTTACAGCCATGCATGCTGTCTGGATTGCTTTGCACCTCCCGGGGAGGACGGCTGGGGGTTGGGGGGATCTCAGCTCTGGATCTGGGATCTCAGGATCAAAGCTGCAGGGATGCAGCACCGGAGCCATTGACTGCAATGACATCAGCAATGGCTGTAACACCAAGTTACCCACGCGCCGCCACGACACCGAAGCAGCCCACTGGTTTTGCCCAAGTTTATTTCTAGAAATCTGTACAAAAAAAACCCACGGGTCCTCTGTCAGATAACAGTCTATGAGATGTGACAGATTCCAGGAATGTGAAGTACCGTCCGCTCGCGTGGAAGAAAGGCACATTTCAGAGCTTGCAACACAGCCGCAGCGCGGAGAAGGCAGACATGCAAGTAGTGCAACGTTTCAGCTTTACACATAAACATGCTGTACTCCGAAGGAATCTCACTACAAGCAGCGTTAGCATCCATGTAAACATCAGAGAAACACTTTAAAATCCACTCACTGCAGATCCTATGCCTGAGAAGGCTACTCCTTTACATTCACTGGACAGAAGAGTTAAAAGCCATCTTTGGGCAGAAGTTACTCCTAGCTTTCCCCAAATGCTTTTAGGCTCCAAACCACCAGCAGCCCCATGGCATTTACCCCGACTGGCTTCCCACGGGTCTGCAGCACTGGGCCACACCATTGCACCACCCCACTGCCCCCGGAGCTCCGTGGCTATGGAGGAGTCCCATTCCTCCTGCAGCACAGCGCTGTGCAAGCAGCACTCGGGACAGACCAGCTCCTAAAGTGACATTCTGAACACAAGTGGTGAAATGCCAGCCACCACAGCATCCCACACAGTGTGGACCGAGGCCCACTGGGCTCTGACATCCTTGGCGTTCCTGCACCTCTCCCCTGGGGTTCTGGCTTTGGTGCTTTCAGAGGAGCTTTTCCGAAGCAGAAAAACTCCTGTGCTGGGTGAGCACATCTCAGCACAGCTGTTGTGCAACACACCGATAATACTGCTCACAATCCAAGCACTGCTCTGCTCGTTGGTTGGAAACCAGATGGACGCTGCTCTCCCCCCAGAACAGCTCGCGCAGCAGATGCAGGAACGCTTCTAATCCACCTCTGGCAATCCAACAGCCTTACATAGCAGGTGACAAAGGCAATCATTTCCCCCATCCAAATCCTCACAGCAGTGGGGAGTTGTGCTCTTTTGGATAGAAAGAGGTTTGTCATGGGATTGATCCAAAGGAAAGCTTTTCTTTTTTAGATCAGTTTTCACACGTGGTCTAGCAATACGTTAAACATTTCCTTTAGAAGGACACGGACACCCACACACGCTTCCAAAAACGCGATGACGGTTTGGGCTCCCGGAGAAGATGCTTCTGAGGGAAGGAGGTGCTGCTGAGCCGGACCCTTCAGTTGACTTCTAGGACCTCAGTCTCTGGCAATCCAAACCTGCCTTTGTACTTGTCAAAGAGCTTGATCAGGGAGTCCACGTACACGCCGTGGTAGAAGTCCACTTCCTTCTGAGATGGGTTGTCGATCTTTGGAATGGTGATGGGCTCACCCACTGATGGAAAAAGGAAAAAGGAGAGATCCACGTGTTAGGATGAGTGCTTTCATGGAGATCTGTCCTCTTACACTGCCAACATCAGCTCAGCACAGCCACGCTGCCATAGCACAGCTTGCTATGCTGGGCCCAGCAGTGCAGCCCTCCACAATTCTTAGGACTGAGACCTTGGATGCACTCAAGGCCAGGCTGGATGTGGCTCTGGGCAGCCTGGGCTGCTGGTTGGCAAGCCTGCATATAGCAGGGAATTGGAAGTAGATGATCATTGTGGTGCTTTTCAACCCAGGCCGTTCTGTGATTCTGTGATTCTATGATTCTAAGACCCAAAGCTGCAGTTCTCATACACTGCCCTGCAGACAGAAGGGAAGAAACAACTTTTTACCCCCACAGGCATCATGGCTTTGGCCTGGAAGACTCAAAGGCAAATTCTAGGGTCAGCTTTAAGACTTAGTTATTAGACCACACTGCTGGTCCCAGGAGTACAATGGGGCAGGCTGCTTCCGATAGGGGCTGTCCAAAACCAGGGGAGGGAACAGCCACAGTTTCATCCAAAATGAGCCCATTTGGTAAAGCTGCTGGGAGCAGAATGTGACAGAGGTCTTGCAGACTCTGGAAGCTATGGTAGCTCACTCTTGGCTTCATATAGCAGGAAAATGGACTTGTATAATCAAGACCCCAAGACCAAGCCAGAGCAAGGATATGGCACAGATTCACTTACGTGGTACCGAGAGAAGCACACAGTATATTTATCCAAAAACCTTACCAACAGTGGTGATGGGCTTGGAGTATGGCAGCAAGCCCCACGTGTTCGAGGAGAAGAGCCCGCGGCCATGGAAGATGCATGGAGCAAAGCCAATGTGCTTCTGAAACTTCTTCTGAACCCATCTTCCCCAGGAGCCCTCCTCAAAGATCACCTGCTTGTACACTTCGTTCTCCCCAAAAGAGTAGACGGGAACCAAGTCGGCACTAGAAGGATGAAGAGGTGCTATACCCCACGTGCCCTGGGCTGCAGCCCATACTACAGCCCCACAACCACTGTGCACTTTCCAGGCTGCACCTTGCAGACGTTACTGGATGTTATATGGCTTGAAAGTGAGACAGGGGAGGTTTGGGTTGGATGTGAGGAGGAAGTTTTTGAGTCAGAGGGTGGTGAGGCAGTGGCACAGGTTGCCCAAGGAGGCTGTGGATGCCCCATCCCTGCAGGCATTCAAGGCCAGGCTGGATGTGGCTCTGGGCAGCCTGGGCTGCTGGTTGGCGACCTGCACACAGCAGGGCTTGGAGCTGGATGAGCATTGAGCTCCTTTGCAACCCAGGCCATTCTGTCATTCCATGATTCTATCCCAGGCAGCTTCCTACCCCTGCCCGTGCTCAGAGCAGGCAGACAAGACAGGGTGATGTGTCTGAGGCTGTGGGCACACAGTCATGCAGCACAGCAGGGGATGGCAGCCCCTTCCATGCACTGGCAGTGCTGCTCTATCCTCCGTGCCATCTCTTACCCGTGCCGCAGTGCCAGTTTCACAAATCCCTTCCTGTTCTTCAGTGTCACTGAATTCTTCCCCGGGGTGCAGTTGAGGGACTCTGCTGCTCCTCCCACCACGATGATGATGGCATTGCCACTGCCGTTCTTGGACAAGATGTAGTCTATGCTGTCACGGTTCACAGGACATATACCTGCAATAGTCAGGGAGAGAGGAAGGTCACGCTGCAACCAAACCACACCTGGATGGCTCTGGGGCACCAGCAACACCTCTGGCCTTGACTGCAAGTTGAGCTGCACTCCCAATGTCCCCACGGACATTGAGAAGGGCTGGGTGTATTGGCAGGTTCCCTGTTCTTTGACTATGCTGGTAGTCTGATTTGGTCCTGGACAAACTGCATCACCACCAGCTCTCAAGAAGCTGTAGGAGTTGGCTTAGCCTTAGGGTGGAAGCAAAGAGCTACATTATTTTGATGGCTACCAGGCTGAACCCAACCAGCTTCTGAGCAGAGCAAGGGGTGAAATAAGCCATTCTGTGAGGATGCTTTGGTGATATGAAGAACTGAGAAACCTTCCTGAGGTGGATCCATCCCCTCCCATGTGGCACTGAAGTCTTTGCAGTGGTACCCTCCAGATCCGGTATGGAATCGTAGGGCATCCCAGGTTGGGAGGGACCCATAAGAATCACTGAGTCCAACTCCTGGATCCACACAGTACCCAAAAAATCAGGCCGTAGCACAGTACAGGATGGGTAAAGTCAATTAATGCCCTTCAGAAACCTAATCATGAGCTAAGACTTGGCTAGAAGGCTGCATTGAGATACTTGTTTTACAAGACAGTTATTGGTGGCGAGTGGTATGGATTATATGGATCATGTCTTAATTGCTCCAGGAGCAACAAACAGTTGACTTCACTATTCAGTTTATGGCCTTTCAAGCCTTACTTCCCTGTCTCTTCATAACTCTTGAGCATCCTTACTCTGAAAGGGATGTTCAGGCCATAGAGAAGCCTTTCCCGGAGGTAACTGACATTATTTTCTCTGCCCAGCCACAACCTATGAGCCCTTCATCACTCAAACAGTGCAATTCATAAAGAACACCAGGCCTATTCATTCTGCAAGTCTGGAGGTTGGACTCACTGATCTCTGGAGGTCCTTTCTAACCCCTGCAATTCCATGATTACGGACGGCTGCCGCAGCCCTGTGACCCATCTGTAGGAAGACTTCCAGAGACGGGGCTCTTCTCAACAGCTGAAGCCACACAATACCCCCAAAGTGCGATTGGATGAAGAGAGCATCCATCATAGGCATAAAACCTACCTATGTGCCACCTCATGGTGTGAGATGCACAAGTAGAACATGTTGTACAGCTATTGACAGGCTGAGGGAGCTGGGCTTGTTCAGCATGGAGGAGAGAAGGCTGGGGGTGACCTCAGTACAGCCTGCAGTGCCTCAAGGGAGCCTGCAGACAGGAGGGGAGTCAGCTCTGTGAAAGGGGAGATGGCAGCAGGACAAGGGGAAATGGATTGGAGTTGAGGGAGGGCAGCTGGAGGTTGGATGTCAGGGGGAAGTTGTTTAGAGAGAGAGTGGTGAGGGGCTGGAACAGCTGCCCAGAGAGGCTGTGATGCCCCGTCCATCCCTGGAGGTGTTCAAGGCCAGGTTGGATGGGGCCCTGGGCAGCCTGGGCTGCTGTGAGATGGGGAGGTTGGTGGCCCTGCATTGGTGGGGGGTTGGAGCTTCGTGATCCTTGAGCTCCCTTCCAGCCCAGGCCATTCTGTGATGCTGTGATTCTATTACACTCATGTTTCAAAGATTAGGGAATTGGATTTGGAGCGTTGGACTCGATGATTTCTGGAGGTCCCTTCCCTACAGTTCCATGATTCCATACGGCTGCCACAGACCTGTGACCCCTGATTCCCCAAAAAGGGAATCTATGACACTTCAGACAGTTTTACCTTCACCTGCCAGGACCTCCCACCGCTGACTGGGATGACTAGCTTTGCACATCTGCAACACCAAGTGCCAGATATCTTTAATAAGCCTTTGGACCACAGTGTCTCAGAGCTAAGGATGAATGCAGAGCAGCAGCAGCCCCAGCTGAAACGCCATCCAGATCCAACCCCCTCCACCTGCAGGGACGTCTGCCCTGAAGAGGCTGAGCCACGGGCAGGGGAAGCACGGAGCTCTTGCACTCACCCCCAGACATTAAGTAATCCCTCAGGATGGGCATCCTGAAGTTCCCAGCCAGGGTTGCCAGGTAGGGCCGGATCCCAGGGAATTTCTGGCTGACTCCCGTGGCCTCTGTGCTGAAGTTGCAAAAGGCTCCCAAGCCCATGATGCCATGTGGATGGTAACCGAAGATGTAATTCCTGGTGGTCAGCAGGTTGTGGGTTTTCACCAGCTGGGAAGGAAAGAGTGAGCTTGCATGAAGCTAGACTTGATGTGGTTTAACAAGAAACAGCAATCAACAAGTCCATGCTACGGTCCTGCTGCTTTTGTCTCCCTTCCCCCAAGACCAGCAGAATGGGCTGCTCTGGATTTCGGGTTACACTGAGGGTTGCAACTCAGACTTCATGAATAAACAGACAGATCTCAGTCACCAGGAGGACAGACAGCTGCCCAGGGGCAGAGGCAGCCTGCAGCAGCCTGCGCCCTTTGTTCCTCCACTCCTCCCAAAGGTGTTGCTGCAGGCCTGCAGCCCAAACCAACCCAGTTCCTCGCAGTGCTGTAACCGCAGCTACGCCTCCCTCCCGAGCCCTTGGCTCCATAGCAGCTCACACCCTGCTATGAAATAAAAGATCAGCCTCCCATAGCATGAGCAAGTTTGTTTAACAGCTGAAAAAAGTCACTGTTCCATCCGCCTGCTGGGCACCCTCCAGGAAGGAGGAATGCTGGCGGGGTGGCTCAGCACTGCAGGCGTTCAGGAGATGCTGTGCTGAGCTCATGGGACACCTCCACCATCCCCAGCAGTGCTGATTGCTGCAGGATGTGTTCCAGCAGCAGAGAGCACACTGCTCTGGGGTTGCAAACATCCCCTAATCACTCATCTGCCTGGATACCATGGGCACCCCGAAGTGTCCATGCCTTCGTCCCACTAATGCCAGTGGATCTGGAGTTTGTTTTGCACTATAGGTAGCATCAACATCGCAGGCATCAGAGCATCTTCCTGAGGCTGTAGGGTGCAGCAGCACTGCTGCATCACCCTGCACCCTAAGGCCCATAGAAACAAGTTGCTAACCCCTTTTCCTCTGTTAATACAGGAGTAGGGATCACTTTCATTTTTATTGCATTTGGGACCATTTTTGCCAACTGCAGCTCTCAGACCGAGGCAGCACCCACATGATTCAGCTGCACTTCCAGCACCACGAGCTGACCTGCTGCACTGCAGCCCCCAGAGGCGCATGCAAAGGTCCCCCCATGTCAACTCCCACTGGAAAAGGCTCAGCTTTCCAAGACGTCACACCACTGTCCTGTCCAAGAAGCCCTTCGGCAGCAGCCAAATCCGTGCTGTTGAATCACAGAGCTGAAGTCCAATTGCAACACGCTGGTCCAGTGCCCAGAAATTGGATTCCTTCCTCCTGCTGCCCTCCATGCACTATTTTAGACCACAGCTGCAGCATGGCATGACAGGACAAGGGGAATGGTTTTAAAGTGAGACAGGGGAGGTTTGGGTTGGATGTGAGGAGGAAGTTTTGGAGGCAGAGGGTGGTGAGGCACTGGCACAGGTTGCCCAAGGAGGCTGTGGATGCCCCATCCCTGCAGGCATCCAAGGCCAGGCTGGATGTGGCTCTGGGCAGCCTGGGCTGCTGGTTGGCGACCTGCACACAGCAGGGCTTGGAGCTGGATGAGCACTGTGCTCCTTTGCAACCCAGGCCATTCTGTGACATGGCAGTGGGCTGAACAAACTGACTGCATCCCACCACACTTCCCCTGAGCTCAGAGGTCACTTGGGGTGCTTGTGGTTTTGCAGCAGCTCCATAGAGCCCCATGCTCCATGTCACACCAATCCATCCTTTATCCCTTTCTGCCTAATTAGCAGATGACTTCCCCCCAGCTTGACCAGGTAGGGCTCCAAGACTGATCAGAGGGAAAGAAAGCAGAGATGCAGTAAGTGAGTAAGTGGGGTTCAGCCCCTCCATCCTCAGTTCTTGCCGGTAGGAGAGACTCAGAACCCAGGCTCAGAACCAATCACAGAATGATAGAATGGCCTGGACTGCAAAGGAGCACAGCGCTCATCCAGCTCCAAGCCCTGCTGTGTGCAGGTCGCCAACCAGCAGCCCAGGCTGCCCAGAGTCACATCCAGCCTGGCCTCCAATGCCTGCAGGGATGGGGCATCCACAGCCTCCTTGGGCAACCTGTTCCACTGAATGCAGAGCCTGCTCTTCTCCAGAGCTCTTCTTAGAGGCAGGTGGGGGCACTAAGGAGGACAGCCCATCCTCTGCCTGCACCAAACTCTGTGTCTTTAAGAGGAAGCCACCTGCAGCAGGGAGCTGCACTTGTGTCCCTGGAGCACAAGCTGAGCTCTATCAAGCCGGGGTTGGCTCCCCCCCCACCACGCTGTGCTGCTGCTGCCATCCTAGGGCAGCACTCAGCTCCAGCCCCTCAGCCACGTGAAGGACACGTGGTGCCCACGCAGAGCCCTTTACTGCGTGCACCCAGCCGGGCCTCAGCCCAGCAGCCCAGCTCCCTCCAACAGTTATAGGGTTACACTTCTCTTGGCACGGGTACCGCAGTGGGGCTGGCACAGGACAGGAGGCACGCAGGGAGCCAGCTCATCTGTGACAAGGACAAGGGAAATATCTGCTGTTCAGATATGCTTTTCCTCAGCAATTTGCCCCATGCAGGATTGCCACTGCCCTCCACAGGCTGCCCCATGCCAGGTGGGTTGGGGAGCCTGTCTTACAGCCAACCCACAGGAGAATGCATCTTCCTCCTGCCCATGGAATCCAGGGCAGCCCAGCACCACCAGGCACCAAGTCTATATGGCCGTGCAGCATCTGCAAGCTGTGCTCAGAATGGAATCACGAAGGCTGGAAACGACCACTAAGGTCATCCAGCCCAACCCCAACCCGTCCCACCACGCCACTGCCACATCCTTCAGTGCCACATCCCCACAGCTCACAGAGATGGTGACCCCTAACCCACCCAGGCAGCCTGACCTCTCTTTGGAGAAGGGATTTTTCCGCTCAAAGTCTTCTCCAGCCCCACTCAGCCCCGAGTTCCCCATAGCCTCAATGCTCCCATGGCAAAACAAAGGCAGTTCATCCCTGCTGCATCCCACCCAGCTGGGACTGAAGCTGGACCTTCACCCTGCTGTGCTAACACACCCAATCCCAGCCTGGGACGGAGCACTTCTCACCAAGAGCAAAGGTCTCTCCACCTGCTCCACTGTTAACACAGGCACATTTCCTTAAACAGATCTAACCCTGCCCACTGAAGCAGTAAAGCAGCACGATTAAGAAAGGACACCCTACTGTTAAATACATTGGAGTGCCAAATACACTCAAAGAACGGCAGTGCCAGCTGTGGGAACAGGAAAGGTAAGGGACACGTGCAAGTGGAGAAAGAGCTGGCAGAGACTGCTGCTGTGCACCAGGAGCAAAGAGCAGAACGAAGGGGAGAGGTTGGGCTGTGCTCTGAGCAGAGATCACTGAAGCATGCAAAGAGCAGAAAATCAGAGCTGCTTTGTCAGGATCTGCATATTAGCTTGCAAAAGGATGGAATGGTTAGCTGCAGCACATCCAAGAGAGTGGTGAGGTGCTGGAACAGCTGCCCAGAGAGGCTGTGATGCCCCGTCCATCCCTGGAGGTGTTCAAGGCCAGGTTGGATGGGGCCCTGGGCAGCCTGGGCTGCTGTGAGATGGGGAGGTTGGTGGCCCTGCATTGGTGGGGGGTTGGAGCTTCGTGATCCTTGAGCTCCCTTCCAACCCAACCCATTCTGTGATTCTCAGAGCAGCCTGGCAGGAGCACAGCTTGTCTTTTCCCCATAGCCAGTGAGGACAAGATGCACCACGTTTGCCTCTGGACCAGCCTCTCTCCTAATGAAAGAGGGATAAATACGTTACCCAAGGAACTCCTGTGCCCTTCATGAACCCAAGCTGCTCAGGTGGTTGGTACCATTCCCTACAACAGATTACAGGGACGCTTCATCCTGTGGGAGCAGTCCCATAACTGCACCTCCAGCACCTCCCAGCCCCACAGCAGCAAGCGTGCTGTTTCCCCACGGGATGCAAGAGCAACCCCACAGCTCTCACCCCTCAAGCTCTGCCCTCTGCTTAACACTTTCTGTGGGGTTCTGTGAACCTTGCACAACTCCACCCCCACAACCACAAAAGAATTGCAGCCGTGTGAGCCAGCATTTGTCTCACAGCAGAAGTTCAGCTTATCTGTCTGCCCCATCTCATTTCTAAACACACTTCACCAACCCAGCTGCGTGCTCTGCTGAGGAGATGCATCATTACAGTGGCGTCTTTGAATCAAATCCCTGGGACAGAACAGCTCTCTTTAACCTTCAGCTGTAGCAAGAAGGCAGGGCTTGCTGCAGTGCATTTAAAACCTTTCTCCTCCATTACAACATGCTCTTTTCTCCATGACTACAAGACCTATCACCACTGGCAGCCTGTGCAGTCAAAATATTTTCCACGTACACCTAAATCACCAAGAATTACCCATCAGCAGTAGCAGGGATTTGCTCACCAGCAGCACATTCCTTCACGTAAGTGTTTCAGGTGGCTTTGGGAAGGAGGAATCCAGCCTGTGCTGCTTTGACTTCCCACAAAACTGCATCCTCTGCCTCCTGAGGTGGCACTATGGGAGCTGAGGGGGTTCATTCACAAGCCTGGCCACGGTGCCTCCCTTTTGCTCAGCCTGAATGAGCAAAGCAGCCTTATGTAACTGTCCTCCCACCTGCACGCCTTTCCAAGAGCACCGAGCTCCCTCCTGCCTCCATTTGCCCTCTGCTCACTCCCAGGTCCTTTGAGGCACGCATCCCCTCTCCAACACACCTGGTATATCAGGGCAGGAGCAACACAAGCAGAGAACAGAAGCGGTTCCCAATGCTGGGTGCCCACAGCCACGCAGCAGAGGGATGTCAGAGCTAAAGGCACTGCTCCCCACGAAGCAGCACTGCTGGTGCATGGCATTCCCAGCTCTCCATCCCCGTTATGCGGCTGTCAAACTGGAATAACTGGAAAACAGAGAAGAACTGAGGGAGATTTATGAGCAGGGAGCAGAGACGGTGCCAGGCACAAAGCAGGACTGCTGCACTTCAGACAGGGAGCCTGCTACAAGCAAGGCTGCCTCAAGGAGTCTGGTGATGAAAGCATCAGAAGAACCCCTGCAAATCGTACTACCACAATTATTCATGTCTGATTTCACAAGCACAGCTGCTGCAAGCTGCTCTACTGCATCGTCCTGCTTGTAGGCCAATGTCACAGATAGAACCACGTGCCCAAAGTCGTCTCCACGGCGGATATTACAACTAAGTCTGAAGCATAAGACCCATAGCACAGAGTTCAGCTGTTACTCACTCTTATTGGAAAATAATCCCTGAAGTACCTCCATATAGCCCAATTTCTCACCCACTGGGATCTTCTTCCACCTGAAAAGGAAAAGCCATGTTATCAGAGCCATTGGAACAGGTTGCCCAAGGAGGCTGTGGATGCCCCATCCCTGCAGGCATTCAAGGCCAGGCTGGATGTGGCTCTGGGCAGCCTGGGCTGCTGGTTGGTGACTTGCACACAGCAGGGGTTGGAGCTGGATGAGCGCTGTGCTCCTTTGCAGCCCAGGCCACTCTATCATTCTATCATTTGCAGCAGCACAGACCCCATGGCAAAGCCCCATCCAAGCTGCCATGCTGTCACCTGGGCCGTGCAAAAGGACAGCAAGCTACTGAATCTCAGTGTAGAGATTTCCAATACACAGTTAGACCCTAAATCTCATTGCAAACCCTAAATCCGTTGCAACAAACCAGCAATGATGTAACTGAATATTGTCACTGCATTACCATCAGCACCAATGAAGCTGGGGGCACTGCACAGAACAGTGCTTCCAGGAGGAGACCCAGCCAAGTCCCACCAAGAGGGGATGGCACCCATCACAAGGAAGGGCAGCTTTGCCCTAACAGGAAGACGAGGAGACAGATATCAGGGGCCAAGTGGGCACTACTTACCTTTCTTGGGTGTATTCCAGTCGAACACCAGCCAGGCTAAATACAGAGCAGCAATCGCCCAGCAATCTGTGCACAGGATGTACATGAGGATTAAAGTGCAAGCAATACCTGGGTGTGTGGAAGAAGAAAACAAGGTGATGTTAGGCTGTGGTCTGCAGAGAGCATTCCTGCTTGCATTAAGAGCTGCAGTGCAGATCCCATACCTCTGCCTACACAGAATTCACTTCTTATGCACTAACATTGTCCAAAAACTGAAAAGCTAAGAAGCTTCGCTCCGGGCCAGAGGGCGCTGCTTACCCATGACGAGGAACGTGAGGACCCACTGCAGCACGGAGATGATCTGCAGTTGTTTCTCTACTTTGGATTTAGACAGCCAGAACAAGTCCTGCAGAGCAGAAAGAATGCTCGACCCCGTACCTACGGACAAAGCCAAAAGCAAATCACATGGCGTACTGCTGGAATGGGCTCCAAGCCTGGCTGGGTACCCACCCGTGGCCACAGGCACCTCCAGACACTGGAACAGCCCGGTGAGGTGGAGATCAGCCCCTGCAGACCGCAGGCAGGCACACAGCGGGCTGTGCTCACCCACCATTGCACAGTGCTGTGCTCACCGCGAGACCCAGCAAGGGAAACGACGGTGGTTTTTCTATAGCATGGAGGAGGAGGAGGTGAAAGCCGCTTCCAGTCAATAAACAGAACCCAAAAAATGTGGTTCCCATGAGGAACCACCTGCTGGGTGCTAAAGATGTGCTCAAACACCTCCAGAAAGCAGCACTTGCACGGAGGTTTTCCTTCGCATCTCGTCATTACTTTTACTATCTGTAAGCCCTATAATTGCTGGCTGGAATGCAAAGCAAGCTGTCAGCCTGGGAGCAAATTAGGAGGTGTGCTGACATACTTCCCTCCCTCCTTAAGGATCAGCCTGTTATTAGAAGGGATGCTGTGCTGCTAAGCAGCTATTATGCTGAATGGGTGCAGCCTTGGCTAACGAGAGCCGCTGCTGCAGCTCTTCAAACAGCAGAGTACCTAAGCAGGAAAGCTCAAATCCTGCAGCAATCCACATTGGGCCACAAATCTCCAAATCTCATAGCGAGTCAGCGGGCAGAAGAAGCTGTCATGGCTGTGGAGGGGCAACAAGCCAGGAGCAGCGTGCTCCTGGAGCTGCAATAGAGGTGGTCCCAGAAGGGTCATTTACAACAGTCCATGTGGATGGACCTCCGAGATGCCAGCTTACAGCACGCTTCCAGCAGTAGGGATGTGGTCAGGGACACTGCTGCATCCTCAGCATAAGTCCAAAGTGTCAGAGATGGCCTGTGACCCATAACAGGAGCAAAGCCCCACCTTGTTTACCCTTGGGGCACCTGCTGAAACACCCATGGATGGAGGAACCCGGCACTCCAGGTCCAGACCAGCTAAGTTGTATAACCTGAGCCATCCTACAGAGCACCAACCCATGGACCATGAGGGGCTGCTGGGCCACCATGATCCTCCCCTCTGCCTCTTCTGCTCTGGGCTGAACAACCCAAGGGACCTGAGCTACTCCTCACACTTTTCACCCTCCAGACCCTTCCCCATCCCTGCAGCCCTTCTCTGGATGCCCCTGAATAGCTTCAGCCCTATGGCCAGTTTTATAAAGCCTGTCAGACTTACCCATGTCGAAGGATGAGGCAGACAGACTCCGTACACCCCAGCCTCTGCCATCCACTTGCATCAGGCTTTCCCCAAAGGAAGATGTTTAATCCTACAGAAACATGTCCCCCCCCATTTTCTGCTGCTGGCAGCTGTCTGTGTGCTGCCACCCTGTTCACCCCAGAGTGTTTTCCAGTGTCCTCATGGCAGCCGGTTCCAGAACTGAACAGCCTGGCTGTTAGGGGTCACACCCATAGCAACCCACTCCTGTGTGCAGAGATTCCAACAACTTCCCTGCCCTTATGTGAGATCCTGAGCCTCTCAACTCATTTCATAGCTATCGAGTTGGATATTAGGGACATTTCTTCTCCCTAAGAGCCGTGATGCAGCGGCCACAGCTTCCCAGGCAGGTGGTGGGGTCACCATCCCTGGGGGTGTTCAGTAACTGTGGAGATGTGGCACTGAGGACATGGCCAGTGGGCATGGGGGGGTGGGCTGGGGATCGTGGAGGTCTTCTCCAACCTTAACGATTCCATGATTCCACGGAGGGCTGATGAGACACGGAGCCATACTGTGGCTCTGATGATGCCACCAAGGAGCTCCTGGAGCTGCTGAAGGGTCTGAGTAGCTCAGATCCCTCGGGTTGTTCAACACCCAACTGCAACAGGGACACAGCTGGTGTTCTTCCAGCATGGTTTGTTTCAGGTTTATCTGGCTTTACCGTGGTTTATCCAGGCAGGGAGGCAGACCCAAAGGCTCCAGGAGAAGAAATAAACAGGACGTCACACTCGGGCACCAGAAAGCTCAGTCTACAGCACAATAACAGCAGCCAAAAGAATGAGCCATGAGGAAGTACAAATGTTACAGATAGTTACAAGCTGGAAGCTTGCTAAAGCCAGGCTTTATCTCATGCGTTCACAAGACAATTAACACGTTCACACATTAACTCTCTGCCAAGGACAACACTTCACCACACAGCTTCCTTGGATGTGAACTGATGCTTATTTAGATGAAAGATGCGGCGCTGGTTGGTGGGCATGGTGATGTTGGGTCAACAGTTGGACCAGATCACCTTAAAGGTCTTTTTCAACCTAAATGATACCATGAAGGCTGAGCCCCTCCAGAGCACAAGGTGCCCCTCCATATCAGAAATGAGGCCTGCCCAACCCCAGCTACATGGCAGGACCAACTCCGATGTACAGCTGAGCAGAAATGCCTTCTCCACCCCAAAGTATTCCACACCGTGGTTCCACGTTGCTAAAGTTCAATCTCAACTGAAGCTCTTAGCCACAGATCAGCCAACGCAGAGGAGCAAAGGTACTTCTCTGAGATGAAATGGGATAAGGAAGGAAACTACAAAGAAGGACAACCTTTAATGCTTTGACGCCAGCATCCTCCCTGCTGCTGTGCCAGAGAAGCAAGGCGGCACCTCAGCAGCTTATGGCCAAAGTGGGTCAGGTCAAGATAAGACAACAATCCCTCACTGAATCATTCAGCTTGGAAAAGCTCTCCAAGATCCCCAACCCACCCCACCCTATCATCCCCACTGCCCATGTCCCTCAGTGCCACATAGAATGGCTTAGAAGGGAGCTCAAGGATCACAAAGCTCCAACCCCCCACCAATGCAGGGCCACCAACCTCCCCATCTCACAGCAGCCCAGGCTGCCCAGGGCCCCATCCAACCTGGCCTTGAACACCTCCAGGGATGGACGGGGCATCACAGCCTCTCTGGGCAGCTGTTCCAGCACCTCACCACTCTCTCTCTAAAGAAATTCCCCCTGACATCCAACCTCCAGCTGCCCTCCTTGAGTTTAAAACCATTCTCCCTGGTGCTATCACTCTCTACTCTGTAAAAAGTGGATTCCCCTCCTGTTTGCAATGCCCTCTTAAATACTGGAAGGCTGCACTCGTGTCTCCTCCACATCCCCACAGTTCCTCTGCATACACACACATGGACGGGTAGGCAGGGAGATGCCATCACCCAGGCTTTTATTGCGTTGTTCTGGTTGTTCTGTTGTCAGAGCACAGCGACTGAACCCCGGGCCCTGGAGGGACACAACCAAGCAGCACCGGAGCTGCCACGCATGGAGCACCACACCTCTTTGCCTCGGCCCATCTTTGAGCTGCAGGATGCCAACTGAAATCCCTAGACCAGCTCTGGCAGGAGCCTGCTGCCACACTCAACAGGTGTTCAAAGCAGCCCCGCGTTGTATTGCTTGGGATGGGCCATAGAGCTACACGACAGCTGCACGCCTCCCATCCGCAGCCATGGGGTAAATCCACCCCAAATCGCTGCAGGACCCCCATGAGCTGCCCCAGAGCAAAACTGGCCCAAGGAGAGTAAAGAGCTTTCCGCCACTAAGCGGGATTATCTAGAGATGAGGCCAATCACTGTCCCTAACCCACACTCCATTTTGAATTATGCACGTGTCCTAGATCCATGGCCAACACAGCAGGGCGGCCGCTGAGGTCTGGGGTCAGCCCTACATATTTTATAGGTCTCCTGAATGATTTATTCTCATCCCTTGGCTCGCAGTTAACTCTCTGTTTAACAACTCGCGTGCTCTTAATTCAAGTGACCCATTCGGCCTCTGCACGTCGCATCCACGTTGCCTTAAGGACAGGAGATGGGAGAGGGAACACAGGGAGATGTGTGGGATCAGCTGCGAGCTGCTGGGAAGGCAGATCTGTCAGCCCCATAGCCCCATATCCACGGGCACACATCCATAGCGGGGTTTTAGACACGGAGGTGGGCAAAAGCAAGAGCACAGGGGATAATTCCCCAGGTTCAGCACCTCCGAGCTCTGCTAATGAGTCCTTTAATCAACAAGCCAAGCCATTCCCCATCTTTCCAGCCCAGGAGGAATTACCAGCCTGCTCTTTGGGGGCAGCAGCCTTCGGCAGCACAGACGCAGCCACAGCTGAAGGCCCTTCCCAGAGCACGGTGTCAACGCTCTGCCAGCGCACTCCACTCTGCCTGCAAGCCCTGACACATCTGCAGAGCGTGGCCACACGCCTCCGTCACGCAAACACTTCTCAGCACTCCTGCAAGACGCCCTGAGCTGCAGGCTCTACTTCCTACTCACGTCCCCCAGCCGCCCCGCAGCAGGAAGCCCTCGGTGGCCGCTCGGTGTCACCGCGGTCACCCAACTTGCTCAGCTCTCCCAGGAAGTCCCTTCGCCAACGCACAGCGCCGCAGGAGCAAACAGCTGCACTCCGCGACACAAACCTCGGTTTAGAATCACACGGAGCCTTCTGCTCCCCCGCTGTAAAGCAATAAGAAACAGCCACGCGTTTTTCCTCTCTCTTTTTTTTTTTTCCTTCCCCCTTCTGTGTTCAACCTGTTGCTGTAAGGGTGGGGAATCCAGCATCGCTGAGCCAAACCCGCAGCCGCAAGCTGAATTCTGCCTGCGTGTTGATAACGCTTCCTTACCTCCAGAAGGGAGGAGAAAAAAAGGACCAAAAAGTAAAGGAGAAAAGGCTCATTTTTAAGCCAACGCCACACGCCCACGTTCGCCACCCCGATCCGCCAAAGCCGCCTGCAGCAGGGCAGCTCTCCCAGCTCTCCGAGAAGCGAAACCTGCGCAGGGAGCTGCGGCAAAACCCCGCAGCCGCACCTCTCTTTTCCCCATCCTCTCCCCCTGTTGCACGAAGATGTGGGCTCACACTTCACGCCCCAGCAGACCCCCCCCCCCCCCCCCCAGGGCCGCCCCGCTCCTCCCCCCGGCTCGGCATCCCCCGGCCCCGCCGCCCCCCGTACCTCGCAGCACCCCCGAGTACGCGGCGATGATGGTTTTCATGGCGGAGGGGATGCGGGGTCCGGCCCGGCCGAGCCCTCGGGATGCAGGGATGGGGGTACGGGGGTGGGGGGAGGGTGGGGAAACACGGCTGTACGGCCCCGGTGCTGTGGGTGTGTGGGGCGGGCGGCGAGAGAGCGGCCCTATATAGCCCAGGAGGAGGAGGAAGAGGAGGAGGAGGAAGGCGGGGAGAGGCGGGGCGGCACTCGTGGTTCCCTCCGCCCTAACGGGGGCTCTGGGTCCTGGCTGTGCTGTTTGCATCGCGCTGCACCCCACGGCCGAAGTTTGCAGGGTGAGGGGCAAAGCCCGATTAGCAAAGCGCTGGCTGGGATATCGTGATCTCCTTCTCGCCCCACTAGGCTCTGTGCCGGTGTTCGGTGCCCTAGAAGGACTGGGGAGCTCTGGCTCCCTGGAAGCAGTATTAAATTAGTACAGAGGAGAACATCCTAAGAATGTGATTGCCTTCCTGGCTTTGTTCAGAGGGAGTCAGACCTCAGGTTTACCTGAACCACCCACAAAACCCCATAGGATCACAGAACCACTGAGGCTGGAAAAGGAGCTCTGAGATCCAGCCCAGCCGCGCACCGACCGCCAGCCCTGCCCCGTAACCGCGTCCCTCAGCACCGCCTTCGTCCTCTCTTTTTTCTCCTCTGTGAGAGTTTCAAAGCATTCTGGGCAGCCTGGGCTGCTGGTTGGCGACCCTGCACACGGCAGGGGGTTGAAACGAGGTGATCTCTGTGGTCCTTTTCAACCCAGGCCATTCTTTCTATCATTGTGGCACTATAAATCCGTGACCATCCAGGTGTCATTTAGCTTTGCCTCGAGGTGTGAGCACAGCTGAGCTCCCCAAGGCTCCTACACGTCTCTACAGATGGAGACTTGTTAGTCTGTCCCAGCTCCCAGACGTAAACCCAGAATTTACAATAGGGTCACATCCGGCCCTGTTGTTAAAGGGGGAGAAGGAACAGACTGACGACCTGCCTCAGTCCCATCTCATCTGTAATTTGCAGGAAATAAAAAGAATCTCCATCAGAGCAATGCTTGGAAATCCTACAAGGAAAACCCAATGGAAAACAGTGAGCACTCAGAAGAGGGACAGTAAGAACCACCGAAACACCTCAAGAAGCACTTCAACTTCGGCCTGGCTTTTGGGGTGGGAATGGGGCCGTGCCCTGCCAAGGCAGCAGTTTGCCCTATTGCTGCTGCAACAGCCACTCCTGCTGTCCCAAAGAAACAAATCCACCAGTGTTTCGCAAAACGTTGCTTTTTCAGCCAGGGGAGAGCTCAGATTGCAAAGTGAGAAGTGAAAGAGTTTTGTATTTCTTTTTTCAGTCCCCTCTTTCGGAGCCGAACTGGCACCAGGAATCCCATTGGGCCGAAGGACGACTTCCAACAGTTGGAACAGCCTGTCGAAATCCGTGTAAAAATGGAAAATTACGAGAGCCTGCCTGAGGAAAGGGTCTTACCCAACAGCTCTTGGATAAGAGCTCCAAAGGAGAGCATGGGATAGAAATCATTAGCCCTGAACTACTGCTGAGCAAAAGGGGAACGACGTGCTGCACGTCTGTGTCTTCTGCTGGCTTAGAGACCCCCTCAGGCAAAGCAAGGCCATGGTACTTTTCTTATCATAACCAAGATAAAGCATCACAGAATCACAGAATTGCTCAGGTTGGAAAAGACCCTACAGGTCACCAAGTCCAACTGCGACCCAGCCACCCTGCCCTAGCTAACAACCCTCCACTAAGACAGGCAGAAATCAGGCTGCAAGGTGGTGGCAGCATGGGGCAGTGGCTAAGTATTGGTTTGGTGTTAGTGTGGTCCTGGCACATAATCTAACATAATCTGTTAGTGCTGAAGGTTAGGGGTGATCTGCAATGTCGTCTGGATGGATACCCACCATGCTGCACCCACCATGAATATTCTGGATCCCCATAGTTGCATTGCTCCGTATCCACAGCGGGGTCCCAGCCCCAATGGGGCCATGACAAAGGAAAGCTCACAAATGCACCACAACGAAGGGCAATAGCAAAACCCTCAGTGCTCCACGGAGCAGCAGGATTCACAGGAACACCAGCACTACCACCAGGTTGGGCAGCAGCCCTGTGCATGCCTTGCATGTGTGCACTGCAGCACCACGTCCTTGTGAGGAAGGAAAAGTTGAGCATGGATCTACGAGGACACAGCTGAGCCCTGGGATGGCGGCTGCCACCAGGCTCTCATTTCACCCCTATGAGCCCTCTGACTTCTTTTCCTCTCCCCTTCAGCTCAGGGGAAGATCAGAAAGCTGTCCTGAATGGTGAGAAGCACCTTGGCTCCGTTCCCCACCAGGATAAGTTTTCCCACTAGGAGGACGCTCGTTCAAAGGTTGTTTTTGCAAATGCCCCTGGTTTGTTTTGCTCGGTGCTTACATTCCTCCCTTGGCACAGCAGGCACACGGCCCTGTCTGTCATTAACCCGCATGTCTGGCAAGATTACTCTTCAACAATAACATCCTTTCAGAGATCCCACTTCTCCTGCACCTGCAAAACACGGACAGGAGGCCGCCCGCAGCTCTGGGCATGCAGCAACAAATCACAGTGCCTTTGGATTCCTTTATTCCCGCTTCTGCTCAGCAGCACCTCGCAGCAAAGCAGCAATGCTCTCTTCTGCAGTCACGTTTTTTAATGCACGTTGGTTTAGGTGATGCCTACGGAAAGGTTTTGAGGCTGCGAGTTGTTTTTCTCTCCCCACTTCCATTCGGGGGCTTACAAGCAAGGTGTGCAGTGTGTTCCAGTGCTTGGACAGCCGCTGCTGCACGGAGCTGTGGTGTTGTTCCTATGTGCTTATGGAGCAGAAAAATGTCCTGTTTTCAAAGCCTAGTGAGGTTCAGAGTTCAGTCTTCACCCAAAGGCCACAGGTTTCGGTGTATGTAGGACACTGCCTGCATTTGGCACGTGCTCAAGTTGAGCTTCTCTGTCTTAGTAATTTTCCTCCTCTAGCTTGAAACATAGAGCCATTTCCCTCTGTTTTGGGATTTCTAAATCCTCTCTTTCCAGGTGCTCTTCTTTCTGTTTTCTTCTTTCTTTCTCCCCAGGGTGGTGGGCACAGCCCTGAGCTGCTGGAGCTCATGGGTCATTGGGACACTGCTCTGCCATGAGGTTTGGGTCTTGGGGTGCTGCATGGGGCCAGGGTTGGGCTCAGTGAACCCTGTGGGTCCCTCGGGGGTAGGGTTGAACACCCACTCGGGGTGTTCTATGGTTCTGTAGTTAAACATGGAGGGTTTATAGCTGCCAGAGTTTCCCCATTGATCTGCCTTCATTTCCCCTTCGCAGGCTTCAATCCCAGCATCTGAAAAAGACCTTTTTCCTCAGGTTCTCTCCTGCGGCCACTGCCACAGCTCAGGCACCATGACCATGTCCGACCTGGCCTGTATTTCTTCTGATGTGTGATGAATCTGGGTTGGGAATAAGGGGCTTCCCCAGTTCCTGTTGTGAGGGAGTGGTGTGTGAGAGGTGTCTGCATGGAAATGGCGTTGAGCAGGACTTCTTTGTACACGCACTGCATGTGCAGCCAAATCACGGAATCATTAAAGTTGGAAAAGAAGATCTCTAAGATCCCCCAAGCCCAAGCCCAACCCATCCCCACCATCCCTCTAAACCCTGTCCCTAAGTAGGATCATAGAGTCATTACGTTTCATAACGAGGATGCTGTGGGATTAAGGTTGGAAAAGACCTCTCAGATGCCCACCCCCAGCCCACCCACCATTCCCACTGCCCACATCCCTCAGTGCCACATCCCCACAGCACTGAGCACCCCCAGGGACCGTGTTCCCCCACCCCCTGGGCAGCTGTGCCAATGGAAATCTTACAATGAGCGATGAACCAGGTGATAAGATCTGGGATTTAACAGGGAGTTTTGAACCCAAGTCACCTAGGCATTGACTTTGTCAACTTTCCAAGCTAACAAAGCAGCAGGAAGACTCCTTCTGAGTCTCACTGTGATTGTTTTTTCCCCCTGCACGTGGCTTGGGCTGAGCTCAATCTAAAGAGCCAGGCTCTCCCTTCCAGGCCCTAACCCTAAGGCTCTCCCTTCTAGAGGGAGCCTCCTCTTCCTCTGCTGCTAAATGTGGGCATGGGAGCCCAGCAGCTTCTCACATCAGCCCAGAGCATAACCTGAGCCTCCAGGTCAGAGGGTTCATCTTTGCCTCCATCCTTTCTTCTGCCTCAGTGGCAGCAGTTCACAGTCCAGGTGATGGATAGGGAGGTGTGATGTTGGCTCATACATTGCCCAAGTGATGAATGTGAACTTTGAGCCAAGGGCGACAGCTGGGCTGGGGAGAGGAGGTGGATCCAAAATCCACACACGTCAGCTGCTTCTACAGAGCTTCAGATAAGATGCAGAAGCTGTCTAAGACCTCAGTATGGAGATGTAAAAGCTGTGTATGGAGAGTTAAACTGAGGCACAGCTGTGGAACCACTCCCATATACCATCCCTTATCCTTTGGGATGCGGTACTGCAGATTCAGGTGGTTGTAGGAGTCCCATACTTATCCCTCATCCCTTAGCCTTAAATTCATCAGCTGCAAAGCTCTCCATGGTCTCTCTTCCTCACTGTGATCTTGCAGAACCTGTTTGTTAATCTGTGTTGGAAAACAGTTTGTCACCTTGGGTGCAGCGCCCGGATTATTTACCAATGCTGGGCGTACATTTGAGGTGTGTGCTATGATCTTCAGAGCCTGGGCTGCTCCTTCCTAACTCTCCATCCATGACAGCTCTTTTCATACGGGCAGAAACCACCCACATTTCCGTTACGTGACATCCTGACCCATCATCAGCAAACTGCACATCCCACCCCTCCCTGCATCAGCAGCACAAACAGCCGCGGGTCGTTTGCTCCGTAAGCGGAGCGTGGCAGAGCGCACGCATCCAGGGCGCATCCAGGGCGCATCCAGCTGCCACGGCGAAGTCCATCTGCAGAGTTCAGCAGTCCCAGATTTTACCAGGGTTCAAAGGCATCAGCACCACATCCGGAGCTGGAAAGAGCTGAGTGAGCACAGAGCAGCACCTCCTCCCAGCACAGCTTACCCACACGTCTCGGCACCGCCGCGCTCGTTGCGCACGCTGACCTTTGCATCTGGAGCAGAATCCACCTAAGCACCATGAGACTTCCCCAAGCCCTGGCCCAGAGGTTTGGTTTTTGCATGGAGTTGTGCTTTACACCCTCCCCCCACACCCTGGTGTCACACGGAGCTGTTATCTCACAGGTATTTATCAGTTTTGTCCCTCAAAGAATTTGCCTGGGAAGGGGATGTTTGCACAGCAGAGCTTTGCAAAACCTTTTCTCCAGAGCGATTTCTGAAGGTAACGTGGGCACCTCAGGCGTGTGCAGGCTCATTCCTGGGCGTTTTCATCCACGATCCCAGGAAAGAGGCAAAGAAATGAGGAGAGCTTCTCCTCTGAAGCTGCGCGCCCGCCTCTTTTCACAAGGGGAAGAAAATTTGGCCCAGGCTGCAAGAGATCATCACAGTGAGCTTTGTGCCAGGGGGCATTAAAAAAAAAGGGTAGGGAAAATAATGAAATACTCACCGCACCCTCGCTTCTCCCTGCAAGACAGGAGGATTCATGCAAGTCACTGAGCAAAGCCAGATTTTGGATGCTGGCAGCAGCTCAGGGTCTGGCTGCCTAGATACAGTCTAAAATTAGAGCACCTAAAAATTAACTGTAAGGCTAAAGAACTTTGGTCCCTGTGCTGAATGAGCACTGGAGAATTAGAGATAGACAGCAAGCCAGCTCTGCTTGTCATGCACTGCAACTGGGAGGCTGCTTTCAGAACCACGTCAGGCACACAAGAAATAGGGAGGACTTTTTTGCAATTATGTTTGCTGCTTTTATTAAGAAGGACATGGAGGCATTAGGCATCACAGAACTACAGAACCATAGAATGGCTGGGGTTGGAAGGGAGCTCAAGGATCACGAAGCTCCAACCCCCCACCAATGCAGGGCCACCAACCTCCCCATTTCACAGCAGCCCAGGCTGCCCAGGGCCCCATCCAACCTGGCCTTGAACACCTCCAGGAACGGCGCAGGTATGGCAATCTGGTTATGAATACAGTGAGGTAAAATAACGTTTCCCATTGCTGAAAGATGGGGGAGCTCCACACTGAGGGCAACGGTGCTCCTCCTCGCCTTCCTGCCTCCATCTTGTGATTCAACACCGGGAGAATCCCTGATGAAAGCTTCTTATTCCCTCTGTCCCCAGGGCTTGTCCCTGTAATGCTATTAGCCGAAGCTGCCTGCCCCACGCTGACCTCCTTGCCAGCTCCGCAGGGCTCATCATCGCTCCGGCCATGACAGCTCCATCCTCGAATCCTTCATGGGAATGAAGAGAATGAGAATAAATGAGAAAAAATGAATTACCAAAAAGGAGAGATTGGCCCTATGACCGTGACTTACGTGGACACGGCCAAGAGCCATCCCTTGGGATTTGCTCATTTATGGTGCTTTCCATCCCCGAAGCATTTTGTCAGCTGCCATCAAACCCTTTAGGACCGTCAGACAGGTGCACCCACGTGTGCATTGAAGAAAGCTGGGCAAACCCCCCCTTCACCTCATCCTACTGCTCTCCTCCCTTAGGATTCCAGCCCTGCAGAGATGTTAAGAGATCCCATGATGCTTAGACCATTTCTGTATCCACATCCAGGGATTTGTCTCCAGGAGTGAGGATGGAAACTGCACAGCCATGACCAGATCTGCCTCGTGAGGTGGCGGTGCCCCATCGCTGGGGACACCCGAGGTCAGGGGACCTTTGTGGCTCTTTTCCTCAAACAAATGAGTGTTGCATGGCTGAAAATTCCACCTTCTGATGAATGGAGAAGGATCTTGGAATAAAAGTGCATCTCTTTCCTTGGGGAAGTCAGCTGAGCCACACTAATGCACTGTCCCTATGGCACTCTGCAAGCTGCAAGCTGCAGAAGGGGTTTTTAGACATCCTGCAGGATGCCGTTGTTTGACTGCTCCTAGCTCAGTCCATCTAAACAACAACCTGAGCCTTCCTACAGTGTTGGATAGCTTGCAAATCATGTGCTGTCAGAAGCACATCCTGATAGTCCTGCAATTCCAGGGCACGTGGCGTGGGACAGATTGCAGTCTGAAGGGCAGACTTCAGTCCCTCACAGTATTAAGAGCAGAGGCTGCACCACAGCCAAATACAGAACAAGTCAGAGATAGCAAAGTCTGCAAGGAAAAGGCACCAGCCTGATTTCACAACCCCTGTGTGTCCCTGTGGAGCCATTCCATGGCTGCCTGTGGGCAGCAGGCACCAGACAGACCCGGTCCTGCAGTCCTTCACTTACCCAGGGAGACCCATTCACTGCAGCAAAAACACTTCTGCAAATGATCTCTGTGCACCCCAGGGTTGCACGATCAGGCCAGGAAATTCAGAGAAAGAGTGATACTCATTGCTCTTAAATAGGCATTTGCAAGATGGAGTTCTCAACTTGATCAGCTCATATTGATTTTCTCTACTGCCTGTGCAGCCTCTAAAATGGCTCTTTGTCTCATCCTGTGATACTGGAGTGCTTAGGAAAGTAGATGGGATGGGATGGGATGGGATGGGATGGGATGGG